TATTTCACTTCAACACAACTCTCCAAGTTTTTTGGTTCACCACTTCTGTAGCCTGAAATTTAACTCACAACACTTTGGTTTTAGTCAGTGAATCTTGCCAAAGTCACTATTCACTGGGCGTTTTGAATATGGCAATGAAGATGAGAATAACAGTCCGAATAATGTAAATATCATAATACCTCATCTCAGAATTATAGACAGATAATGAAGGGTCATTTGTTTCCTATTATTATTAAAACGCTTGTTACGACTAAAAGAACCAAAACCACACAGGCAAATAGAGGTTCAACCATCCGTTAGATTAGTAAGGAGAGAGAAAGAGAGAGAGAGAGAAATACGGCAGAATTCCTCATATCCTGAATACCTCCTATCCGTAACTCGTATTGGAACTATTTGGGTGATATGTAACTGATCTGATCTATCTGTTTTTTCAAGAAATTATGCTTATTGCATCCTAATGGCGTGTATTGGCGCAAAAGATGATGGGAATAAGAGGAAAATAAGAACTTTGAAGTTATCGTAAAGTGGAAATTTTAAACAGTGTAGACGCTGGTGAAAGTTCATTGGAACGAATGGCTGAGTTCAACATAAGAAGTCAGCATTTTATGATATAAAATCTTCCAAGGAATCTATTCTCCAGTGTTCACACTGTCACAATGAAATGAAAACATGATTGTGATGAAACCTGGACTGAAATTGAAAAAGCTATTGAAAAGGTTGTCAATTTTATGGAAAGAAAGTTAGCATTCAGTTATGTCGATTGCAATAAGGCACTCAGAGTCAAAAAGTGTCTTTCGTTTAAAAAAATCAGCCACAAAATCAAAATGGAATGCGGAAAAAGTTGAGAATGACATTAGAAAAGAAAGAATCATGCAACAGCGATTAAAAATCCTCGTCATATTATTTGTTTTGCATACGTGGCATACTTAATTTAATGAATTTTCATTAACATTACATAATGTATTTCTTTTCCCTTAAAATCATTTCTGTTATATTTCACTCACCATTGGCTCATTTTGTTTAGTATTAAACATTGAAAATAAATGTTAAACTTGATTTCAGTTCTTTTATTTTAATCTAAATATAACCCCTCATATCCGGACTTTGTAACCAATTCCTCATATCCAGAAGGCCCTTTTTAGTCCGATTATCAGGGAGTCTACTGTATATCAGTAAGAAAATAAGGAAACAAAATTAAAAGAATAGGAAACAAAATATTAAAGAAAACAAAATATAAAGAAGGTAATCTAGAAGAATATTTTTTATACTGTACAAGGTCCGAGAGCCACTTAAGGTAGAGGCATATAGAGTAAGAGGCACAGATTATGCGGATATGTGTGGAAGATAATGATTAATCCTAGACGTGGACGGGTTAAGATTGTAGTGATCAAGGAAGCACCGACTGGGGAGTCACTTCCACAAGACAGCGGTTCGGGAAGATTAGAACTGGTGAAACTCTGTAGTGTAGTTCATCTGAACACTTTTCATGGAAATATCGATAGGGCAGAGGCTTGCGACATCTTGTCTGTGAGAAACGGGTGGTAGGGTGGAAATTAATTCGTCACCAACATGGACGCGGGGGCGCTTTTGGACTTTATCAAGAATGAAAAGTGAAACTGATAAGCTCCTGCCCAAATATGGCAGTACTTTATTTTTGACCTGATCTCGCTCTTTGAAATGAAGAAGATATCAAAAAGAATCAGTGACATGATTCTCAGAGACAAACCTATCACCATTGATACTGTGGAGAAGGCGTTGTTATATACATTGTGACGCACAGTAAGGAACAAGACTATCGAATATGCCAACGAGATAAAGGCCTTATTGCACGATATTTGTTGTTAGACTGAGCGATATTGCGATAAAATTTGATACTGACTTAAAGGCATTTTTCTAAAAGATTATCTGATATACAAAGCACAACAATGCTATAAACATTCACATTGAGCTGAGGGCTTTGCTAGAGAAGATATTGTGATAGAGTCGTTGTCAGTAACCCGATATGAAAATTGAACTTGATTATTATTTTTAATCTCTATTTCAGTGATGTTTGAAGTCAGGTAGTTATAAGTAAGCCATATATTTGTCAAAGATATAAACATAATAAAAACGCAATCAAATCAGGCTTTCTGTTAATAATATATATATTTTGTTTTGATTTGCATCACCCCATGCAAAGTAGTAAAGCCATTAAAATACAATGGGTTACAGGGTGTGAAAGAATTAGGAACGGAAACTTTAATAATGAGCGGGAAGATGAAAGAATAATCAGAAGAACAGTAGATAGCGATTAACATTGCATTTAAATTTTCGCAGATTAAAGTTGACTGGAAAGCATGGTTCCACATTCGAGAAACGCTAGAAAAGAAACTGTTAGCCTAGAACTTATGGTTACATTTTGCCAGCTCAACTATGTATGAGACCTCGACGCCAGTCTAGCACTGCGTTTAAATTCAAAAAGACCAGGTACCATAGCGATGAACTCATCTAAACAATTACAATGAAAATATATATAGAAAAGGCACAGAGAGGCAATGTTACGGCGGTGGGAAAGTGACTGAAGCCGAGCCGCCAGATCAGGGCC